GCCTTGGATTGTATTACATTCATTTATTAAGTAGATTCTTTTGTCCAGTGTACGGTGGAGAAAACGGGGTCGGACCGTCCCTGGGGACACTGGATGTTAAGGGTCATGCTCGGGGGGGGGGGCATGGGATGTGAATGGGTGACCTATCCATCACGGGCACCGTCCTAACCCACAGAGCCACACATGGTCCGGTTTGCGAATCCCAGCACCCTTGGCAGCAGCCGCCACTGGGCACTTTTCCTCATTGGACTTTTTATGTTAGGTTATGAAAATGTGCTTGACAGTTGTAGCTCATAGCGGTGATGGAATTCTCAGTGAAAGTAGCATTATCCCATATAGTCTGTTTGCCGGTGGAGCTGTAATTGGGCAATATAATGCAAAGGTCGCTTACCATGGAAACATTCGTTTTATCTATTTATTTTCTTAATTGCAGTTTCAATAGTTTTGTATAAAAATTAACCATGCAAGCATGTGTCTTCTGCACACTTCTTGTGGGCAGTGGTGGCTTAATGGTCAGGGAAGTGCACTTGTAGTTGAAAGATTGCTGGTTCGAATCCCCGACCAGCAAGGTACTGCTCCCCGGGCACTGAATTAGCTGCCCCCAGCTATGTCACGATGTCACATATGGGTTAAATGCAGAGGACACATGTCGTCGTGTGCTGTGGTGTGACAACAATGACCACTGATCACCAAATTCAATTCTATTGTCAGTGGTTCTGATGCGTCCATTTGTAGCGTAAAAAAGTAATACCCATAATACTAGTTCTTCCTTAATATTTTCAAACCTATACTTATTGTGTTGAATCATGTCCGTCTTGTGATACACATGTAATGATTTCCCCACTTGTAATGTTTTTGGAAAATCGGTCATCTCCGTTAGGTGTCACGTCCGTTAGGTGTCACGTCCATGATTAATAAAATGCTATGTATTTATCACTTGTAAATTTTTTAAAATATGAATTTTGAGGATTTGTCTTTTCAACCCAAGAAGCTACATGAAGATGTGCAAGCTGACACTCTGATACTCAGCTTGTCCTTTTCTGAGGCATTTGAATCTCACATCCATAATACTGGAATTGTTCTTTTTTTTAATGCATACAGGGGTTTTGCTGTGTAGGTCATGGACTCTGAAACAGGCTAACATTTTTATTTTAATTAGTTATACTAAATGTCAACATTTGTTTTAGCTAATAGCAGGCATTTCATCAAACGCAGCTGGAGAACTCGTTTGCTTTTTAATGAGGAGGCTGTTTTCGAAGGAGATGTGAGAGATTGGTTTATGGTGTTAGAGTTCAATGTCAGCCTTGCATTGTTTGTGGAATGGCTGTTCAGGTGGTGATGGCGTGATGTCAGTCTAATGTCCAAGATTGATCTCCTGGTTGCCTAAACGATGTGTCTTCCATAAGAGCGTCTTAGGGAAGTGACAGAAAATGTCAGTCGTGGTTATATTATAAGAACATTATATCATGAGATTGCAGGTCACCACGAGCTACGTGCTTCTGCATGTGAAGTTGGCACTTGGTTAATGTCGTCTTGTTTCTGCATGTAGCTCCGGGAAATGGGCCTTGTAATCATACTCCTGCCATCGTCAGTGTCCGACGGAACAATGCAGGCGGTGTAAAATCCATCTGTTTGAGGGACAGTTCTCTGGTGTTGCACCCTGCCGCCTTAGTTTACAGCTGACGGCGTCGTGTGCATGTCTGGGGTGGGGAGCCGCGCCGTTCGGCTTCTCAGGAGTGCCCATTGCGGAGGGCGTAGGACCTTCTTTGGGTGGAGTCTGAGCTGCATTTTAGTCATTGTTTTTATGTCTTGTCTGACAAGTTTGGCAGGATCCACCGGAGAAGTGTCAAGGGTTTGGTGGCCTGGCAGTGGGGTTGCTGGGACAGGGAGACTCTGAATTGACATGCCGGTTTTACTCGGGTGTAGAATCTTCGACAGATGCTCCCTCCTTCCCCCGACTTGGGGGGGGAGAGACACCCTGTCTGCGGTGTCCTGGTTTGTCAGTACTTGGCCAGCTGACCCTTACTCTGACCTTCTGTTTTGACACTTTCCTCTTCACTTCGCTGGCTTTACCATCCACGTGCTCAGGGGTTTAGATCAGTCTTCCTCAGATTTTTTTTCATCGGGCATTTTACGACTGCATCTGTAATCGTTGTATCATTTGTGACCCGTCCCCCCCATTTTATTTAGCCTTTGATTTCCAGTAGATAAGTGTTTCTGATCCCAGTCTTTGGAGACCTCCAGACAATCTGTGTTTTTTTTCTCCCTCCAAACTGCCTGCCAGACAGTCCAGGTTTTCCCCGGTAGAGAGCTGGAAGGTGGTCTGCTAGGACCAGTTTGAGAAGAACTGCAATAGATGAATAATTCCTGTTGGTACTCAAGCTACTAAAGTAAATACTAATTTCCTTATTTAAGAATGTTATGTAAGTTGGATGGTGATTTGAGGTAAGCAACCTGTTGTTTTTGATGACCTCTTGATGTATTAATCAGCATTTTGCTTGTTTTGTATGTGCTGATCTTGGACTGGGTGAGGATTGTGTACGTCTCAGTGCAGGCGTGTGTTAACCCTGGGGGGCTGTTATCCTGTGGACAGATGCAAAATGCAAGAGGACTGATCCTATTAGGGCACTGTCTGGGGGGGCTTAGTGATGAAGTTATAGGATGTGCTGTTCTGGGGTTAATACAACCATATGTGTGGGGCCACCTCCAGTAAGCTACCTGTGGGCGTGGCTAGTTTGTTAGGTGGGGGAGGAGCCTGTTTAGGGTCTCTGTGCTTCCTCTGCTGACCCTGCTGGAAGTGCTGTGCGTGTGTGTAATGGAAAAGGGTAGGCCGACCGAAAAAGTGAAAGTGTGAGGAACTAAAAGGGAATGGAAAATGACCCCCCCCCCCCCCCCCCCCCCCCCCCCCCCCCCCCCTCTTTTCTCGAAATTAGTTGCTCAGGGCAAGTCAATGAACTGACAAGCTCCGTCACACAAATTGCTGTTTGGGGGTGGGTGGGGGGGGGCGGGGGCTTGTTCCAGATGTTGGCAGAGCGTCCCTTTCGGCTGGGTTTTGAGATGATAGTCTTGGGGCTGCACTTTCGCAGGCTGGCTTCCAGGCCTGTGCCACGGCTCTGCCTTTTAGCGAGGGCTGTGGACGTGCGCGGAACCATCGCGGAAACTTTGGACAGGCTCCGGAGTCGCCGTCAGTGTGGCGCGCGCTCGCTCTCCAGGGTGTGGCAGGTTTAGGTTATTACAGGAAGAGAAAGTAACATGTTTTGGAGGCTGGAGGGGAAAAAACAAATTCAAACACCGTGAACTGGTTGGCATTTGGAACTTTCACTGAGGCCTTTTTGTGTGTGTGTGTGTGTGTGTGTGTGTGTGTGTGTGTGTGTGTGTGTGTGTGGCTTCTGGTTGTCTTCCTAGGATGCAGATGGCCGGAAGCTGCCTCTCCCAGGCCACCCCCTCGCTGGGTTCCACACAAGGCTTCCCCGTACAGCTTCACCTTCCAACCGACACGTTATGCAGCCGGAGTGTGACGCTGCACCTGCAGTTTTTTGTTGTCTGTAAATTATAAAAATGTGTAATTCCAGAATTCCACCATCTCAGTGAAATTCTGGTAGAGATCAATTTATCAATTTGCACGATCTTCCTCACCAGTCAGTTTGTCTTTCTGCAGTGTCTTTCTGTCTTAATTTCGTGTCTTAAAATGTCATGTCTGTTATGGTTATGTCTATATTCTATTTTATTACTTATTTTCATTTGCACTATGAAGAGAATGATACTTCAGCTCAGTGTGACTCCACGCGTCACATATCTGAAGCTGACAGTAAAAGATACTTTGACTTATTCCAGCTTGCTACTTATTTCCTTGGTTTTCCTACAAAAAAATAACCGCTTTACGGCTCTGTACCTGATCTAGCCGTCCCACCAAAAGGCTGCATGTTAAGCACATGGCTTGTAGTAAAAAACACTTCTGGAAGAGTGATGTATGTATATTTGGTGTGTCGAGCTCCCCTCCCATGAAACATGGCATCTTTCTTCTGAGTCACATCTTTCGTTAGCCTTGGTATGTTTTCGAGCTGTGCCCAAACCACCGTCCCGGCCAGTGCGGGTACGGCTCTGCACTGTTTTGGTAGAAGCAGGGTGTGGCTTTGAATGGGCAACAATTACACTCGGGGAAATTGAGCCACGATATCTGTTTGTGTGGCGTGTTTCGCCTGCGAATGCCTGAGTTGTTTGTCTGTATTTGTTTCTCAGACGTCTGGAATGTTTGTTTCTCCTCCTCGGCAGCCAGGAGCATGTGGTCTGGAAGCGTATGTCCCGTTTCATAACTTCATAACTCCAACCTCTGCCCGTGTCCCCCAGAGTGGCTGGTGCCCCCGGACCTGTACATGTCACCATTAGACCGTCAGATCATTGGATGCCAGTCCCTCCCAATGCGAGTGGCTTAATCGGGTGTTGACGCTGGTTCGTAGCTTACAGGAGGCATCTGATGCTTTACGATCATGCCTTATGCTGTCCGATTGCAATGCTGCTTGATCATGTGTTTTCCATGCTGTCATGACCTGGAATGATCCGTTCCTTCTCAGTGTTCTGTAATGCTAATCAATGGCGCTGGCTCATCGGTGTCGTTCTCAAGCTCCCCGCTGCGAGCTGAGCTCCCTGTTTTTTTTCCCCCATATGGCATCAACACAGCCCCCCCTCCCCAAAAACATTGTAACTTTAGCACATTTGTTGGCGCTGGTGCTTAATTCCAGCTTTGGGTTTCCTTGGTAACCAACCCTAGAAGACCTGGCTGCAGAGGTTTGGGGGTGTGGCCACTGCGACTTTAGATCCTGGGTTTGTGTGTGCAGTGATTTTGGTTTTTTTTTGTCCCTGCATCTGGGCCTCCTATTTTGAAGCTCTCCTCGCCCGAGTCGGAGTTGGCACGGCAGTGGAGGACTGAGGCGGGTCACCGGCGGCCGCCGGGGTGTGAAGGAGCCTGCGGTATGTGAGGAACGCGACCTCTGTCCGCACAGTAGGCGGAAAAGAGCCCAGGCTGACCGCTAGCGGAGGGACAGGAGCGACGGAACTGCCGAATTCCAAGGGCAGGAATGGCGCTGCCGTGAGAGCGGTCCCGACCCCGTTCCGGCGCTGTTCTGCTGTGGGTCCAGGCCTGTTCGCCTAAGAGTTTGACCTTCATACTCCACAAAAAAATTCAACGTTGTCTAAAAAGTCTTGGCAGTAGTTTTGCCCTTCCTGCTGTGCTCTGACTGAGGTTGTGAGATTGGCATGATGATGTTAATGAATGGGCTTTTGTGCTGTCAGCCTCCCAGTTTAACCTGCTTTTACGTTATTTACTATTGGTTTTATCACTTCCCTTTCCTTTAAACCAAACATGCAATTAATAACATGTGAGAGTCCTGCCCTCTCACCATGGCTGTTGGCACGTTAACCCTCCGTGTTTCCCGCACATACTGTATGGTCAGTATTATCCTGCGACAGTGAATGAATATGTGGGCGTGGAGGTAGTGCTGCTCATTTGCACGGTTGACGTAGGCAGCCTTTTCCTGTCATTGGGCCGAGCAGGTGGGGGGGTGGAGAGTTCCTTGACTTGGTGGCCCTCAATCATCTTTCATGTGGTTTCTGGGGTTGTATGCGGTGACTGAGCGTCACATACCCAGCATGCACTGCAGGCGGCGGCCGCTTCCTGCTTTGTCGTCTTTCGGGGCTCCGTCGCCGGAGCCGTTTTTCTTTTCCCTCTTGCGATGAATTTCAGCAAGTGGCTGCCCTGGCGGAGGAGGCACGGTGCTTCCAAGCACAAGAGAAAGCAGCCTGGCCTTCCTGCTGTAGGTAAGCGTACCGCAAGGCCCTCCTCTCGGCCCGCTTCCCTTCCTGCTTCCTGCCAAAGAGGAAAACATGGCGCTTTGCCTTTTGTGTTTGTTGTCCCTTCTTTTGTTTGACTTCACAGCCTCTCTTCCTAGCTGTGAACACTTTAGAGGCTCCATCTCTGCGTCGCGGTGCTCCTTAAGGAACCGGGTCCCAGACATGGACCGAATTAGCTGTTGAGGTTCTGGCTGAGGTTGTGACTCCTCAGGATGGGGACTTTTTTTAAGGGGGTGCCATCCTCCCTGTGGTCTTTACTGTAGATATTCCTGAATTCCTGAAATCGTACTGATGTCGACTCTCTCTTCATACCACCCCCCCCCCCCCCACCACCACCACATCGGGGCCGCTGCTTCCCCAGACTGGCAGTATATGTACCCTTCCCCTCTCCTCCGTTCCGGCGCTTCGTGGCACAGTAGGAGTGCTGCACCTCTCTCTGTACCCTGCTGGCCAATGCACGTACTGTTTCTCTGTCTGGACCCGTATTTAAGTCCTTGATGACAGTCATTAATTCCAAGAGAATTTTGACATTCGGTGGTGGGCTAAGTCATAGAGCGCTGAGGTTGAATGTGGCCAGACAGAGCTGATTACGTCAGCTGTCGCAGGTTAATACTGGTTTTGGTTGGTGTACATTGGCTGGGTGGGTTATAAGACATGCTGGTGGTGCTCGTCTGTAGCTGTTGACGTGTTTAGTGGGTGAGAGAATGACTCGTCCCCTATGGAGTGATTGCCTGACCCCTGCTTGGGCTGGTTCGTCTGTTTTTGCTTTGATATGTGGTGGCACATGAGGGGCTTTTGGTGCCAGGTCCTAACAGACCAGGAGGACTGGAGTGGGGGGGGTGTCTCCCCACAGGCTGATTGCTGACTGGTGGTGGGGGGCAGCTTCCTTCACCTGCAGTGATGTCCTTCCGTCTTTGTGTTTAGTGTCCCTCTTTAATGAGTGTGGTCTTGGCTGGAGCCCTCGGCAAAGGTGCAGCTTTGATCGGAGCCAAGCGGTAGTCTGGGGGGGGGGGGCAAACTGAGGAGGTGGAATCCATAGGCTGCACACTCACAATAGAAGAGAAGCTGCATTATGAACAAGGGTGTAACTAGAAATTCTAGGCCCCCTGACAAAATTTCACATAGGACCCCCCCCCCCGAACTGGAGAATACATAGTAGGGCTGGTCATCGCCACTGATTTGATTTCTGATTACATTCGTTTTGATTCAATATCGATTGTGGTGCCCAAAAATGAGTAATCTGTATAAATTTGGCATATCCTAATGTTTATTAACTTGGGCCAGCGGAGCTCGCTGCATGCTGCGGTTCTGGTAAGTCATGGCGGTGATTTATAAGCGCTGAAATGGTGCTGAAGATCGGGGCGGCTCGACAGCCAGCCGTCTTTTGAAAGAGGAGATGTTGAGGATAAACAAGCTAAAAAGATATTCATAGTGTGCTGGTACATTTTGCAGTTTAAAACCCGACTTGTTTAATAATCATAAGGATACGCTGAATTTATACAGATTACTAACTTATGTTCATCAGAATATGCCTCTCATTAATGCTGTAGGTGCACTACGAACCCGTTTGTCAAATTTTGAGCGTAAGTAACTGTCTGGATGGTACTGAAGAACTGGGTAGATTTTTTTTTTTTTTTTTTTTTTTTTGTCTGTCGTGTAATCGCATCACATCTGCTGGCACTGATTAGTGTCTGACACAACTTGTGGCATTTTTTTGACTCCGTCTATCGGTATATAATAGCAAGTTCTGTTTGGCTCTAGTTCTTTGGATAAATGTCTTTTTAGTTTTATCGATAGTCATTATTGGGAGTATTTGTGCTTAATATTGCACGATGTGGTATCGTGCAGCCCTGCCTTCAGCGGAGCAGCTCTTACCACATTTATCTGTTTTTATTTGCCAGTTGGGCGCAAGATTAACGAGGTTAAAGCCTCACACAACCACGGGAAAAGGCCATAGACTGTAAAATGCACATATAAAAAAAAAAAAATCAATTTTGGAGTTTTATGAATAAATTTTGGGATTATGCAAATGAACATCGATTTGAATCAGGAAAACTATTTCATTTTTTTAAACCAAACCCTAATACGTAATAATTACTTGTATTCAGGGGATCCTATAAAGCAAAGCAGTGTTTCCCAATCCAGTCCTTGGGGACCCACAGTCAGTACATCAAAATGGGGACTGTCTGGGAGGGAGCAAAAACATGGACCGACTGTGGATCCCCGAGGGCCGGACTGGCAAACACGGCTGTAAAGTGCTGAGCCCCCTGAATCTGGCAGAGTCTCCATGTCGTCATGACGTCCCGGGCTTTGGCTCCTGCCTGCATCTGGCCTTTAGCTAAGAAACCAAAGTGTACCTTTTTGCCTTGCTGGTGATTTTCCGTCTTCTGTGGGTGTATTGCAACTCATGCGACCCCCCCCCCCAACGCTCAGAGTCTGAGGCAGCAGGACCACGAGGTTGGAGTGAATCTCTTGGCTCGTGGTTGGAGCAGCTCAGTCCAAAACCGGGACACGCACAAAATAAGGCCGAGAGGCCCTGATGTGGGGCACGCGACCGCCGGGCACGGCACGCTGGCTTCGCTCGCCCCTCTGACTCGCTCTCCAGTTCTGGCACATGTGAGCCGCATTTACGGGAACTGGAGAGCAGCGGCTTGGCAGAGCCGCCCGGCATCGCTGTTTTATGCACGGATTCTGACGTCGGCTGCAGAGGAAAGAAGACGCGTTTCAGCTTTCTGAACGTCTGTGAAGCGAGTTCTGCCTGCTTGCATCAGGCAAGAGCGGCTGGCTGATTTGTGAATGGCAGGTTGGGCAATATTTAAAAAAAAAAAAACAAAACAAACAAACACGGGAATGAGGACATCCTTTTTATTTCATGCTTGGCATCTTGTTTTCTTAATTTTTAAAACTGCCATCTTTTCACAACAGCGGGAGGTGCTGTCTCTCATTATTGCATTTTGTAAAACCCTCTAAGTCAGTCTTTCCGAACTCCTCCTTACATTTTTCTTCCCAAAATGCCCCATTGATTCCGCTATGACGCGGCAGGCTTGGCAGAATGGCATTGGGGGTGGGGGTGTGGTCAGAATGACAGGATTTCCGTGGAATTCCCAGAATCCCCCCGCATAAGTATGGGAGCCATTTTTTAGCATCTGGCTTCTTGCCAGCATGGAGCAGAGAAATCACCATTCATTGGTGGGGTGTCAGCTATACTGAAATAGCACCTTATCACTGGGAAAGTGAAGGAGTGGTTCGGGGGTGTCCACAGGGGTGTGACCACAGGACCATGCTAAAAGCTGATAGGCCCCGGGAATGCCCCTTCCCCTACCCCTCACCGACTCAAAACCTGTCATTGGCTAAAGATAAGGTTGGCCCCCTGTGCAAATTATGCCCCCCACCTTAAAAAACATCCTAAAATTGCCCCTCAGTTGCGTCCGTGGGAGGCATAGCAGCACAGTGCCCACGCCCGAGGGTCGCTCTCCTTATCTCGCCTGCGCTCTTCTCCGCCCAGCCCATTAGCTGTGCGGCGAGGTGTGTGAGGAGGCTTCTGGGATTTGGTCCGCTGATGCAATCTCGGCTTCCTGTCCGTTCCGTCTGAGTTGCGAGCGCGGCCTGCTCCGCGCGGCCTGCTCCGCATCACCCCGGCTTTCTCCCAGTCTGCCAGCTTGTCCCATAATGATCAAAACGTTTTCATCTTCCTGATTATGTGAAATTCTCTGTAACATCATTGTGGCTGAATAGCACAGTGAAACATCTGTTCCCTTGGAAAAAGGGTAAACTGTTCAACAGCTGGTTTGTGGTGTGTGGTGTGGTTGGGGGGGAGAATTTCATGAGCCATCATGCTAGACTTATTAACCCCATGGCCTGGCTGCGCTGGACTGCTGGTGCCGCATAATTCTGGCTTTTAGAGCTCCAGTAAAAATTAGAACATATTCTTCTGAATTTGCCTTGTGAGGTTTTCATTTCACATGCTATTTTTGAACATTGTCTACAGGTAATAATTATAGAATGAACCCCTTGAGATGAGTTCTGCGGCCTGCCAGCCTGGTTTAGGTGTGAGTTTGCATGTGGGTTTTGCCAGTGTATGTGCAAGTGGGGGTTAGAGGGTCGGTGGGGGGTGGGGGATGCTGTGGTGTGGGGGCAGTGGGTCTTCACAGGGGCCGGAATTCTGTGGCTCTTCCATGTCTACCTGGCTCTGCACTGCCCCCACCCCCGGCCTGAACCTCGACACGCCTGACATTCCTCCGTGGGTGGTGTCGGATGGAGGAGACGGCACAATCCCTCCGTGACAATGCAGCCCATTGTGCTGCCGGGTGGGGTGGAAGCTGTTGCTGTCACCCCCAAGGCGCCTCGTTCCCATGGCGTCTGGTAGCCTCGGAGAGAGTGACTCCACCACGTCTGCTCTGCATGGCAGCGTGTTAGAGGTCACATGGTCACCTGCCACGCCCCCTAACTTCCGGTCCCTCTCCCCTTTGTTTTTTAAACCTCCCCTGGTACTTGAGATATATATTCAGTGGTAACTGAAGGGGAAGCTGGTTGGCGTATAGATCATTCATCCCGCTGGCCAGGAGCGGCAGAGTTTTGGGAACCTGCGTTGGGATTTGTCTCAGCCGACTGGTGCGTTTCCTTCAGGGCCGTGCGCAGCTTTTTGTTTACTGTGTCGTGTTAATATCGCGAACTTCTGATTTGCAGGGGGTGCATGTGCCGACGGCGATGCTGCCTGGCCCACTGGGGGGGGGGCGGAGCCAGGGCGATCGTGTAGCCAGAATGGCTCTGAGATAAACGTTCTACAGACTTCTTTTTTTTTTTTTAAGTTACTCTTTAACCGGTCTATGTGCATAAGTGACTCTCCATAGCGAAGCACATGACTGGGTCAGTGTTGCCTGGGGGACAAGGTTTGCCTGGACTAATCTCTGCTCACTGAGCTAAATCATAGGGGCAGGTTTCTTCTCTCTCTGTGTGTGTGTGTGTGTGTGTGTGTGTGTGTGTGTGTGTGTGTTTGTTTCCCTATCACCACACCCCACCCCCTCTCACCCCAACCTCCAAACTCTCCTGTGTCCTATTGAAGAGGGAGGGGATGAATTCCTTTCTTTATTTCTCAGCATTCTTGTCTGGTGGTTGTAAGTCTGTGTGTGTGGGAGGGGTGGGGGGGCTCGCCTGTTGGACTTGACCTCCGACTGGGGGTTCATGGAGTGTGTGGGGGCTGTGCCGGCAGCGGGAACGTGCCGTGTCTTGCCCCGCTGGCTAGCGGTTCCGTCACCGCGTCCTGAGACATTCGACACTGCTAGTCAGATGCGGCGACGCTATCGGTTACGTGGCACCTGAGAAGTGCGCCGTTGGGCTGGCCCCATGCATACGTCTCTCGCCCCAACTGTCCAATCAGGGGCCTCCTCCTCCATTGTTGATTTTGCCTGTTCATGTTCCTGAGACAAGACACCATGACAGACCGCCATAATGGCTTGCTGTTGGGTGCATGCATGGTGGCTAATCATGCTAATGTGCCATTTGTCCTTTCCCTGCTAGATGAGCACGATGCTGTACAGAAGAAGACGTTCACCAAATGGATCAACAGCCGCTTTACCAAGGTAATTTTTTTTATAATTTTTTTTAAGTCACAGGACTAATTTTGCAGCAATAGTCCATGAAACACGTTATCTGTGGGAAGCGTGACATTGTGTGGGCCACTTATCATGATTGCTGACTTCTATTCACTATCCATCCCCAAAGAGGTTTTCAATAAAGGGACACCGGGTCCAGGTTTCCATAAAGGGCTGATATATTAGCACCCAGCCATGTTAACGTCTGTGTAAGGAGGGTGTGGTCTGTGCCAAAGCTCTCGTTGGCTCCCAGTGTGGATAAGGAGACGACAAAAGCTGGTAACGCTGATGTCAGGTTTTTCCCAAGATGCACGCGCGTGGTCGGTCGTCATGGAGAGGACCCCCAGCCCCATGACCCTGGGTCAGAACACCAGTCCTTTTTTTTTTATGGGGATATTTGAACAACCTCTGCCCCCCATGGAGTCCTCTAGATGTTGGGTACAAATCTTCCTTCATCAATGACCTTTGTAAAACAGTTTAATAACACTCCGGCCCAGAGCACTTTGTCTGAAGTACAACTAAGAAATATATGCCAGGAGGAAGGTCTTGGGACTGATCCAGCCTCTGCAGGCTCTGCAGAATGCTATGCTGCAGTCCTCGTCCTCCTCAGGAATGAGCTGATGGTACCATGTCAGTCCCACACACACGGGACGCCTGTTTTGTTCTTGTTTTAACCTGGTCACTGTTTAACTATAAATACACAAAAGATGTGTGTGAGGAACCCGCTGTCGTCGGTCTCAGCGTGGAGGTGAGCTGAGAGTCCCCCCCCCCC